ATGAATCTAAAGATATGCAATTAGATTTTGATAATAAATTTGAATCTAATGAACTTGAATTACTATTATCTAATAATGAATCTGAACCTAAAATATTATCATCTGATATTGAATCAAATTCAGAATTAGAAGAAATACTTGAAACTAATAATGAACCTGAAATATTATTATCTGATATTGAATCAAATTCAGAATTAAAAGAAATACTTGAAACTAATAATGAACCTAAAATATTATCATCTGATATTGAATCAAATTCAGAATTAAAAGAAATACTTGAAACTAATAATGAACCTGAATTATTATTTGATGTCGAATCAAATTCAGAATTAGAAGAAATACTTGAAAATGATAATGATTTTATAGAATATTTTTCGGATGATTCTGATAATATTTAATGCTAATATTTAAATACTAATATTTAATTAGTTATTGTTATACTTACTATTAAATCATACAAAAGCAGAAGCAGAAATAGAAGAATTAAATGATTCAATGAAGAAAGCTCTTAAATTGCTTGAACTTAAAGCACAAAAAGGAACTTTAATGAATCAAATATATCAAGAAATATTAGAAACTTTTAATTGTGAAAATATAACATTATATTCAGCAAAAAAATTTTTAGCAAATATGGTTTCTTTAACAGCAACATTTATCGATATGTGTGTAGATTCATGGTGCACATTTACTAGACAATATAAGCAGCTTTCTAATTGTCCTGTATGTGATAAACCACGTTATATTAACCAAGGAAAGGCTTGCAAGAAAGTTACATATTTTTTTCTTAAAGATTATTTCAAAATTGAATTTAAAAATCAAAATTATGTTGAAAAAATTTTATATAGATCTAAATATTAATTTAATGGAGGATCTTATAATAATATTTTCGATAGTATTTTATATAAAGATCTTTGTCAAAAAGGTTTTTTTTCTAATCCTTATAATATATGTCTTATTGGATCTACTAATAGTTACCAAATATTTCGACAAAAACGAAATGATTGTTAGGTTTTTTTATATATTAATACAAACTTACCTCCTGATAAACATGTAAAAAAAGAAAATTTACCAAATAGTCCAAAAAAAATGGATATATTTCTTCAACCATTAGTCGATGAGCTTAAATTATTAGAACGTATGTATTTATTAATTAATAATTTTTGTTAATAATTTTTTAAAATTAAATAAATTAACAATTAATATTATTATTATATTAATATTATTATTAATAGGTGGAGTTGAAATAACTGATTATAAAAATATAAAATTTATATTATGAGCACATACTATTTATATAGACTAGTGATATTTCTGCAATTACAAAAGTTTTAAATTTAACAGGTCATAATTCATACATGGCTTGCAGATTTTGTAATATTCATGGCATATATAAGGATTATATTTACTATCTATTAAATTCTAGTTTGCAATCTTCATCTTATAATTTTTTAAATCTTCCAATGCGATTTCATAAAGAGTATAGTGAAGATGTTATAAAAGTTATGCAAATACAATCTGGATCTGAAAAAAATAAACAAATAAACTTACAAGGTAATTTTATAAAAATCCCAGAGGGGGGTATAATGAGCTAATATTTGTCAGCCCCCTTAAAGGTTCATATATTTTATTTGAACTTAATACAATACGATTTCCACAATCATTTCCTATGGATATAATGCATTTATTTTTCAAAGAAGTAACACCTGCAATGTATCATCATTGGTCTAGACAGTTTTTTTCTGTAACAAAAACAGAATTAAACAATAATGATATCTATTTTTGGGGTTAGGGTCCTGTAGCCTAGTGGTCTAGGTGCCTAACTCTCTACAGACAAAGTCGACGGTTCAATTATAGCTGGTGGTAATTAATTTAATTAATTATCTCTGTAACCTTTGGGGGCTTTTGAATGCAAAACTCTGTGGCGGTAAGACCATGTAAAGTACATATTTGGCTGATAAAGAATTCTTGGAAGGAGTCCTGAGCCATAGAGAAGATCAGGCACTACGTGTAACATGGGTCACAGAAGTAATATTACAGAAGGCTGTGCGTGTGAATCCACAATTGGCAAGGTAGCACCAACAACCCTAAGGTGGCATTGGGATCTTAATTGAAAGGATGGCTATATACAATATATCCAGAAGTGGTGAGAGAAGCAGTGAACATAGTAAGGGGCTGTGGTAAGAGAATAGCTTTACCAAA